ATATATACGTATATATTATATGTGTCACAACTCTAATCCTCCTTTCTATGGGGACCGGCAAAGGGATCTATTTTTAGCCATATAAATGTTTTTATTAACATCCCATCATGGATCAGTTGCAGCAGCAGTATTCATTTCATGTCTGGATGGGATGATATCTACCTGCAGCAGGGAGAGACGCAGCGTGAAGAAGCCTCCTGTCGGTGCTCTGGGACTGGTGAGGAGGAGCTCTCAGCAGCACAATGGAGAAATGCGTTCACGGCAGAGTCTCTCAAAGTCTCAATAACACCAGAAAAAGAGTCGCTACATTTTCACTAGTCACTTTTCTGAATAACAGTCTCTAGASGGTCTGAAAAGTCTGTAAATATAGCGAGGAAGTCGCTAAATCAGCACCGCTGTGTTCCACAACCCGCCACCTCTCATGTCAGCGAGCAGCGTGTCGGGTCGATTACATCACACATTGGAGCGGTGAAATTATCGTACATTATGGGATTTTTGGGATTATTGAGCGTACATCGTACAGAGGGCAAAATTATCGTACAAATACGATAATTATCGTACACCTGGCAACACTGCTCCCGTGATGTGAAAAAAGTGTTTCTATTGCAGTTTTGTGAAAAACACCAATTTCGATATGGCCGAAAAACCACCTCATCCTGGCGCAAAAACATTTTGTCGAAGAATGTAATTTTTTTCGAAATTCACGTGTTTCCATTGAGCAAATTTTTTTTTTAAATTCTAATTTGCACATTTTCATGGTCAATGGAAACACAGCTATTGATGTAAAGACCTATACGTGTTTACGCTTGCATGAACTGTTATCAATTTGTTTTAGAAAGGACATATTTTAAGACAACAATACACTTTGGGACTTGGCTCTGCTCAGACTAGCCGTTTTCTCATCAGTCCAGTCAAAATTAACTGAAGACATTCAAAGAGCTATCTAAAACAGGAAAATATTGTTTGCTGATTACGTGTTATGCTGAACACCACTTCCAAAGATCTGAAGTACTGCTTTAAAGTCTCATGGTCAGCCAGTTTTACTTCGGCTCATGAATTTAAAATTGAGTACAAGTCATGAAAGTTTAAATCTGCAGCAAACTTCTTGACTCATCATCATTGTGATTGGTACCTGCAGATCTAAACAAAAATCTACAGATAGAAGACAGATTTTAAGTCCAGTGTTCCAATGTAGAAGAAAACAAAAACATTTTCATGCGCTCCTGATTAAAATCTTAAGACCAGTCAAAAAAGTGCAAGAATTTGCATTTTGCATTATTGGATCTTAAGAAGGTTCTAAGTAGAGCTTCACAATGTTAAAAGAAGAAATCAGTGCAAGAGACAAGAACTTTTGAGCAGGGAATTGTCTGAAAACTGCATTTACACTCAAACATGATTTTTTCAGCTGTTCAAAAGTTTAAGACCATAGTCTTTAAAAGCCAAAAGCTGTGCAAAAATCTGGATTCCATGTCATTTTCTGTCAAGTCTTTACACTGTCAAGACCTCCTGATGGCAAAAGCAAAAAAGCTCACTGACTTTGAACGTGGTAGGATTGTTGAGCTGCATAAGCAAGGCCTCTCACAACGTGCCATCGCTGCTGAAGTTGGACGCAGTAAGACAGTCATTTTGCATTTTTTAAATGATCCTGAGGGTTATGGAACAAAAAAGTCAAGTGGTAGACCCAAAAAAATTTAACCAGCTCTGAGCCACAGGATCCGATTGGTTGTCCGTGAAGACACGGGAGGATCCTCTACCCAAATTAAGGCCATTACTGGTGCTGACTGCAGCCCAATAACCATCAGACAGCATCTGTGAGAGAGGGGCTTCAGAAACAAAAAACATCTTCAAAGGCCACGTCTTCTTCAACGCCACAAAATTGCCCGTTTGGACTCTGCAAGGGTGCATCAAACATGGGACATTGAAAGGTGGAAGAAAGTTGTCTTCTCTGAAGAGAAAAAATTTAACCATGATGGTCCTGGTGGCTTCCAACGTTACTGGCATGACAAGGAGATCCCACCTGAGATGTTTTCTACACGGCACAGTGGTGGGGGCACCATCATGATTTGGGGTGCGTTTTCCTTCAATGGAACAATGGAGCTTCAGGTTGTGCAGGGGCGTCAAACAGCAGCTGGCTATGTGGAGATGTTGCAGCGGGCATCCCTCATGACTGAGGGCCCTCGTCTGTGTGGTAATGATTGGGTTTTTCATCAGGACAATGCTGCAGTTCACAATGCCCGCCTGACAAAGGAGTTCTTCCAAGAGAATAACATCACTCTTTTGGACCATCCTGCATGTTCCCCGGATCTAAACCCAACTGAGAACATTTGGGGATGATGGCAAGGGAAGTTTACAAAAATGGACATCAGTTCCAGACAGTGGATGCCCTTCGTGAAGCCATCTTCAACACTTGGAGCAACGTTCCCACTAGCCTCCTGGAAACACTGGCATCAAGCATGCCTAAACCATTGTTTGAAGTCATCAACAAGAATGGTGGAGCTACTCATTACTGAGTCCTTTTTTTGACACTTTGATTTCTGTTTTGGGGAATTTTCAGGTTTTTTTTTTTTTTTTGAGCTATGGTCTTAAACTTTTGATCAGCTGAAAAAAATCATGTTTGAGTGTAAATACAGTTTTCAGAAAATTCCCTGCTCAAAAGTTCTTGTCTCTTGCACTGATTTCTTCTTTTAACATTGTGAAGCTCTACTTAGAACCTTCTTAAGATCCAATAGTGCAAAATGCAAATTCTTGCACTTTTTTTGACTGGTCTAAGATTTTGATCAGGAGTGTATTTAAAAAACATTATGAACAAAATGTCCTGGTGCATCTCAGTAATCCAGGTAGAAAAAATAATTAGGGCCTCTGGATGGGTTCTTCTTTAGTGAAACGTTTCGAAACGTTTCACTAAAGAAGAACCCATCCAGAGGACCTACTTATTTTTTCTTTTTGATTATGAACAAAAATATCCACAGACAGAATTAAACCTGTGTGTGGGTAAACAAGGACTGAGAAAATCACAATTTACTGAACAGTTTCATTCTTCAGAAAAGTGTTTGCACTCCACACCCCCAGGTTTCACCCACACAGGTATTTTCATTAATGCTGCCTAATTAAACCATTTTCTTAGAAATGTGTGGGCGTGAACATTGTCTGGCATCTCCCTCACACTCAAGTTTAGCTTTCTTGAACCTTTTTGGCCGAGACAGACTCAGCTCAAAATTTGTTTTGTTTTTTTATTCTTCGAGCAGATGCTTTGATCTGTCACAGCGGGAAACTCAACGTGGAACTATGTGTTTGTGTTGGGTGCGAGGAGCAGCAGGACCCTGAGTCTGATGCTGTTAACTGGAGTACTGCCACGGTTCATCTCGTTATTTGCACCTCCTCTCTCCGGTGAGCCGATGCTTTCCTGTTTAGGCTGCTGCGGTTCAAGCAGGATGAGAGGAAAAGCTGGGAGGGGGCAAGCGAACACTGACGCAGCTGTGTTCAGAATATAAACACACAAATTTCCCCAACATGACATCAAAACCCTCCAATAACTCATGGAGTTTCTTTCTCATTTTCAATCCTCTGCAGCTCAAAATCCACTTTAAATAAAGTTTTTTTTTGTTCAGAAAATTAACATCAGATTTTTACTCAAACATGTATCTTCATGGAAAATATAGAATACTTTGATGATTCTAGTTACAGACATTGCATGGACACAGATTATTTTGCAAACAAAGGCAGGTTGTTTCACGGTCGTGAGTCTCTGGCTCCCTCAGACTTACTCAAGTCGTGACTTTGCTCCATCGTGATGAAGAAAAGACAGACTCCTGCTGTCAGCAGGAGGTGCATGGACTCATATAGCAGTTTGGGCGAGAAGACACTCCATATGAAGAGATGGTAGCGCAGGACTGTCACCAGAACGATGTAGGCTGCAGCTGGCACGGACCGGAGCAGGGCCAAACAGTAGCAACCGTGGCTAACGGTGACTGGGCTCCTGTAGAGAGGAAGAGGTTCATGAGAGAGAGAAGACAAGGCGGGTCTTTCTGAAGAATAACGTAGAATTTTTATGGGAATCAAAGTCAACCTGAGCTCCACAGATTGATTCATCAAAGCTTGTTTACTTGCCCCACCCATATTTCTTAGGCATGGCTGTAAAGCAAATTCTGGCTACACTACTGATGTTTCAATATACTGAGAATTATCAAGTGATAAGCTCTTTACAAATTAACTGCTATAAATTGCAAAGAAACATAAACAAATCCAAACAAAGAACAAAGAATGTAGTATGCATATAAATAATATCATTGCAAAATCAATTTGAAAATGTAGCCTGAACTGTCCATTTTTTAAAATTAAATTAAAGCTCAAGCTAATCTTCAGAATTTTAAATAAACGGTTAATGTGCATTTTCATAAAGTTACTACTTTCCAACCAAATTTCTCGAAATATGTAGGATGATGCGTTTCTGATAAGGTCTAACCCTAGGGTAAAAATATGACATTATCCAAGAAACTCTGATAAAAACAAGTGAGCAGGGGTGCCCAAACATTTTCCCATTGAGGGCCAAGATCAAAATCAATCTGAGGGCGGTGGGCCAAATGCAATAATATAATACACGAAATGCAAATACTTCAAGTAAAGTTGTATTTTTTACGATTAAGCTAGCAGCCCACATTTTTTTGTTTGTGTATTTTTTTCAGCCCATGGACATAGAGAAAATTCAACGTTTGCTCAGGCAGCAAATGCTCATGACACTTTTCATGATTTTAAATTTGAGTATATGTGGTCTTATAAGGTTCGCAAATCTAGATATGGACTTAAATCTGATCTAAATGTCTCTAGACGTTACTTGTATTTTATTTTTAATCTTAATATAATTCAAAGAGAAACTGAGAACCATGAGTTAAGACTATCTGACTATCTCCTTGTACCTATAGTTGGATCAATGGTAGAAAAGACTAAGTGTAAATATAGTATTTCTACGTAAAACAGGAGATTACAATCTGGTAATCAGGACAACTGCTAGTGGGCCAAATCAAATAGCTTGGCGGGCCAATTTCGCCTGCGGGCCCCACTTCGGGCACCTCTGGTCGAAAGAATCACCTTTCGATCTCTATAAGAGACACAGTTCCACGTACAACAGCAAGAACAGAACTGAGGATGGACTTACAAAAGCAAAAGCTTTTAAAGTACAAAGTCATCTTTTCACTTGTGTTGAAGAGCATCAAGGGTGCTTAGAAATATAGAAGAAAAGATGTTGAATGAATGTCCTCAGGTTCTGAAAACATTTTGTACCAGTTTAAATTGTATATACACTACAGTTCAAAAGTTTTAGAACACCTTTATTTTTCTAGGTTTTTTAATTTGAAATTCAAGCAGCTCAAGTTCAATGAACAGCTTGAAATGGTACAAAGGTAAGTGCTGAACTGCCAGAGGGTTAAAAAATATGTAAGTTAGCCAACACTGAAAGCCAAGGAGTCCAGTTTCCTTCACCGTCACAGTGCACTCAAATTGGTGGAAACTGACAGGAAGAGGTGTGACAGACCCAACCCTGGATCCAGCAAGACAGCCCCAGATCATCACACTTCCTCCTCCATGTCTCAGCTGTCACACAGAGAAACCGTACAAAAGTCCTGCTGATGAACTCCTGCTTTGTATTCATCAGCCAACCCCAACATCTTGTTCCAGTCTTCACTGGTCCACTGGTGATGTTTCATGGTTCAGGAAAGCTTCTTTTTCTTATTCTGAGCTCTTAGAGATAGTTTTCTTGCTGCGAGTCGACCTGTCAAGTTGCTGCTCCAAGTCTTATCTTTAGTAAAGACAAACTTACCTTTTACAACCATTAAACTGTGCTTTAAGCTGAGGGCCTGTGAGCTGCCTATCACACATTTCTCCTCTGATCCTGTTGTGGCTCTGAGCCTGCCACACCTGTTCCCATCAGAGTCTCCACCAGTTTATGAGTGCATGACTTTCAGTTTTGGGTAACTTCTTTAAAGCTCTTGCAGTTCATACATACTCATACAGTATATATATATA